TGATCTGTTCTGGGCTACTAAATCACCCTTAATTACTAAATTACCCTCCATAAAAAGTATGAAAACTAGGGTGTTACATATCCCTAATCTCATTTTACTTGCTTAATGTATGATGCTTTTCACTCTAAATAGTCAACAAGGTGTTACTAATTTATGTTGTTTCATTATTTTATGATATTTACAATGGTCATATAATTAGTTTGATATTCTTAAACAAATCTCATTTCTGTAAACTATGTTATATTAAATTTTAAATAATTAAAAATATTTTAAATAATTTAATTTAATTATTTTTATATTTTTCTTAAGCTCATCTTATTATTATATCATCATTTTTTATAAAGATAAATGTTAATGGTCATAAGAATGAAAGTTTGAATTAATTTGTAATTGGAGATTTGACCTTGGGGATTTAAATGAGTAAAGAACTTAAGATGAAATATCCTTGTATTAATTGAGATTATGATAAAGCTCATTTATCTTGACTAGTCACTACAAAAATAATTCAAATTTCACTATAAAAAAATATATCTAAATTATATATTTAATATTGGTTATACCTAATTTTGTACATTTTATTTATTTAATTGTATTTATTGGATAATTATTCTCACTCCTTATTTTTCTTTGTATTAAAATTAAATTAAAAATATTGCAAAATAGATTGATTTACTAGCAATACCAAGCTTTTTCTTTTAAAAGCTAGTTATCAGGATTAATATCCTACCAAATATTCTCTTACTATTATTATGTAATTTTCTATTTTACATTGTAATCTCTTTCCTATAAATAATATTGATTACCTCACATAAATTGTGGTGAGAGTTATCACATCTTACATGGTATCAAGTTACGGTTCTAAATCCTAGCCTCTAAACCCTTGTGCCATCCTTGACCTTGTTCGTGCATGCCCCTTCTCTTTCTCCTCTCCACCACCTAGGACATGCATCTGCCACCCAGGCCGTGCATCCGCCACCCAGGCCGTGCGTTCTCCCCCAATCGTGCATCCATTTCCAGATTGCACGTCTATCCCAAGCCATGCGATCGTCCAATTTCGTTCGCGGTCTTCTCTCATGGCTGACGATACCACTCCTTTATCTCTGCCATTTGCTACATTGGTTCACATGATCACCATTCAACTTAACTTTGAGAATTTTCTTCTCTAGCATAAACAGGTTACTTCTCTTCTTCAAAATCAGAATTTGTTTCACATTGTTGATGGTTTTGTTGAACCACCACCGTAGTTTTTGCAACAAACTGTTGTTATTGCCACTTCTCCAGGTTTACGCAATGGTGTTTCTATTTTGAATCCTCGGTTCGCTCAATGGTAAGCTTAAGATCGCGGCGTCGGAGGCCCTCTCTAAGACACTAAGTGATGACATTGCTCAAGATGTCTGGAATACTCTACATACTACCTATGCTTCACATAACAAGGCTCATGAACTGTGCCTCTAAGAAGAGCTTCAACTCATGCATCGTGGTTCCCTCTATATGATAGAATATGGAAAGAAATTCCACACTATTTGTGATCAGTTGGCTGCTATTGGTGCTCTTGTTTCTAATGATGACAAAGTTCATTTGTTCCTTTGAGGTCTTGGTCCCTTCTATGCAAATTTTTCCATGGGTCAACTTGATTAGGTACCTTTGCCTCGATTTACTGATATTCTCTATAAGGTCGAAAGCCATGCGATTTTTCTCAGGTATCTCTTGAGGAACCAATGCCCTCTCAGCCAGCTGCCTTCTAAGCGAACAATCAACCTCGCTCATTTGGCAATCAGTCATCTCGCAATGGTAATTGTGGAAATTCCAACGATGGTTGCAATGGTGGTAATTGCGACAATTCTAATGGTGGTTCTCGTTAGTGTCACAACAACTCTGGTCATCGCAAATCTTATGTCCCTCGCTATCAGATTTGTCGTGAACAAGGTCATTATACTAACAAATGTCCAGTTCACTGGGACAGGTCTTCTTAGTCTACTAATTTGGCTTAGGCATTTGCTGCCAATTGCTCGTTGGACACCTTAAACAAATCAGATTGGTATATGGACACCAGTGCCACATCTCACATGACACCTTCTTCGTCTTAGTTGACTGATTCCCAAGATTATAATGGTAATGATCGTGTTTTTGTGGGTAATGGGACCTCTTTAAATATTACTCATGTTGGTTCTCGTTCTTTAAATATAACTATGGTGTAGTTTCTTTATGAATGAAAATATGATTATGGTATGGTTTTTACTTAGTATGGTTTTAAAAAATTTATATTATAGATAATAAGAACTTTTTTTTATAAAATTTTATTGCAAATTTTGAAATGTTGTAATAGCTATATAGGTATGGCTTGATGAGTAATTCATTCTGTAATAGCCATAAAACTTGATGTTATAATAACTCCATTTTTAAAGAAAATTTAACCCCATCTTAACCTAATAGTTAAAAATAATTAACCCCATTTACAAAACCTTCCCTCACCTAATAAAATAATTAAATCATTTAATTATAAAACTTTATAATATATCTATATATATAATAATTAAAATAATTATTAAAACCAACTGTAATAATTATAACAAAATACAACAATAATAATTAACAATATTTATTAAAATACCATAAACATATATTGTTATAGATTTGATTAGTTTTAGAAAAATAATTTCCTTCTATATTTTTCCCACATCAAAAAAATATATTTCTTCATCTTGACTCGCTCCAATAACCATCTTCAATAATCATCTAAGTAACAACATTGTTGATCATATAAAAAAAAGTGCATGAAACAACTAATCTTTTTAACTTTGATAAAGCGTTTACCCTGATAATAAAATGTGTTAACTATAAAATTTGGATGTTTTATATGGATTGATTGATTTAATAAAAAAATTTCTTTTGCAATTTTTTACTCATTGAAAAACATATTTCTCCATCTTGACTCCCTCCAATAACTATCTAACTATATAACAATATTGTTGATCATATAAAAAAAATGCATGATGAATTTAATCTTTTATACTGTGATAAAGTATGTATTTACTTTGATAGTTAAATATATTAACTACAAAATAAGTGATTGTTGATAAATTCAAAACAATTAAATTTTAAATAAATCAGTTACCAAAATAATCATTAGAATAATTACAAGAGTTTTGAATTATTTTCACTAAAAGATAATTCTATTATATTATTTTAAAAATTTATCAAATTATCTAAAATTTAAAATTTAAAATTTAAAATATCTCAGTTGCAAAATAATCACTAGAAAAATTACAAGATTTATAAATCCTTTTTACCAAAAAGCCTAAATCTTAATACCCCAAAGTCATATGTCCTAAAACCATAAATCCTAAATCCTAAATTTTAACCCTCAAATATATATATATTTTTAAAATTTATCAAATTATTTAAAAATTTATAATTAATTTTTTTAAAAAATATTTCAGTTACAAAAAAAAAACACCACCAAAATAATCACGATATATTTTTTAAACCATTTAATCCATAAAACATCCAAATAAAAACCCTAAAATAAAGAACTATAAACTCCATTAAAGAAATTGAGAAGAACAAAGAATATCTTAAATTCATCAACTAGATCAAATAAGGAAAATAGTATATTTCAACACAATATGTAGAAATTAAATTAGAAATAACCGCTAAACAATCAAATGCAAACTTATTTGTGATTGTGTGTCGTATAGAGAATTAAATATAAGAATTAAATGTGAACATAAGATAAAAATGGAGATGAAGATAAAAACAAAATGAATAGAAAGATTAAAAATAAATAACACTGGAAAATAAGTAAGAAGAACGATAAGAAAGAAAAAAAATTATACCTAAAAGAAACTTCTTCAAGAAGAGGCGAGAGAAAAAATAAAATATTTGTAAATTAGAAAATGGTAAAATATACTTTGAGAATGATCACGACTTTAAAGGAAGAAAATGGTAAATAGTTTAGGGTTTAGATTATTAATTTAGTTACAAAATAAAATATTATCTTTTTAATATAATTTCAGGTAGGATTCCAAATTTTTTATTTATTTTTTGAATTATAAAAGATTAAAAAAATTAAAGAGCAATTGTTACTAAAAAAGACTCTAATACCCTTAGTTTTGATATACAAAATAAATATTTGTTTATTTCTATTCTCTATTTTGTGAACGCATTATTTTCAATGATTTTAACCTTTTAGATGAAAATAGAAACTGCACAGAAATGAATAATAATATTTTTTTTTTTATATTTTTATATTTTTATATTTTTATTTTTTATGAAAAAGTTTTATTTTTAAAATTGTTATATCCCACTATTTGTGTATTCAAGTGAGTCACGTATCTTTTCATTCACTAATTTTATATAATTGAAGTTTATGACAAATACATACTTTTAACATAAAATATATTGTAATTAAAAGTCATATAATAAATAATTATTTTTTAATATATAAGTTATATTTTAAATTTATAATAAATAATTTATTTTGTGATATAAAGTTCTTCTTAACTATTACTAATTTATTTTAAAAAAATACATTGAATTTCAATTCAAAAATAAATAAGAAAAGATAGATAAAAAATTAAGAAGTTAAAGAAAAATCTTTAAAAAAATAAAGAATAATTTCTAAAAATACTATTTTTTTGGTACATTAAAATCATACTATTTAATATAAATATTTTAATTTAGATTTAAATATATTTTTAATTAATATAAAATATAGTTTTGATTTTGATCCTTTTAATTTTTTTTATCCCTATTAACTGCCTATATATTTATATTGAGCAAAATATCTTCAGTGACACTAGGTGATCAGCACATAATTAAAATATATATATATATATATATATATATATATATATATTTGTATATTAAAATGAACAAAACCAAAATTTATTAAATTCATATGACCAAAAACAATGATTTTATATATTAGAGAATGAGAAACAAAAAATTTTGTATAAGGACAAATCAAAACTCCTATAATTCTTTAAAAAGAAAAAATATATTTAAAACTTTAATATATGACTTAATTCAAACCAAATGATTGAGTTCAACATTAATTTTTTGAATTAATCAAATTATAGCCAAAATTTTCATTTGTTCATTTTTAAGTATACAAAACATAGCATGCGCGGCACAACTAGATGTTCAACTCGTTTCGGTATCATCACGTTTGTTGTCCGTGTCTGGTTCAATTTCAGTTTCAACATCTGCGTCAGCAGCCGTGTCCGGTTCAATTTCAGTTTCAACACCTGCGTCCGCAGCCATCACGTCTTCGACCTTTGATACACGAAACATAGCTAAATGGGTGTCTCCTGGAAATGACATTCACAAAGTTAAGAATCTAAATTCGTATAAAAACTTCAAAAATTCATAAAATGATCACCAAAATAATTTTACAAATGAGTTTTTTTAGTACTTTGTTTTATGTAACATTTAAGGATCAATTCATCATTTACAAATTATAATATAATGTCTCTTTGGAACATGCACACTTGTAATGACAGAAAGAATATGCTACATTAGGCTAAAGTTCCACATGAAATATGAATTTCTTTTGAAATTGTATAGAATTAAGGTGGCTATTTTCACACCTCACTACAACTTCATTTTCTTTGTTTTTTTTTTTTTTTTTTTTCACTTTGTATTTTTGCTATAACTCAACGAATTCACTTTCCATACGATACTTTTAAGAACCTGATACTGTTATTCTGAATGACGAAGAAGGATCCAATTTTGCAACCTAATTCTGCTACTTTTACATCTTTTTAATGCTGTTGTGATTTAAATACATCTCAAAATTTTTGCTATAACTCAACGGATTCACTTTCCATAGGATACTTTTAAGAACTTGACGCTGTTAATGTGAATGACTCAAAAGGATTCAATTTACATTGTTATTGTTATTGAAAACACAAAACCTGTTACCTAACTCGTACAATGCCAAGTTTTGGTTGAGTTGAGTTGCATCTGACCCGAACATTGAAAAAATTCAATTCGAACTTGATGGGTTTGTTTGGGTCAGTTTGGGTTCATGAGTTACCTGTACCAGCTTATGCCCTTAAATTTTGCAACAAGTATGATCATTATGCCTTTCATTGTTGGAACCACTTTGACCAGAATTTCGTTCCTCTACCACCATCTCATCCACAATTCATGGCATCAAAAATTCATAATCAATATAATTCAAATGCACAACCTAGTGCCTATGTTGCTACTCCATACTTTTCGCTTGGATCTAGTCAATCCCAATTCACTCAATACAGGAACTATGATCTTCAGCAATGATACCCAGATTGGGGTGCATCACATTACTACTGATTCACATAATCTAGCTCACAACACTCAATTTGGAGGTTCATATCAAGTTCATGGGAAATGGTCAAAGTCTGTCTATTTCCTCTATTGGCTCTTCAACCTTTTACTCCCATCTTAACCCCTCACTTAAGTTTACTCTCAATAATCTTTTGTTAGTTCCACCCATTACCAAAAGACCTTGTTTCTGTTTCCAAGTTTGCTCGAGATAATGGGGTCTATTTTGAGTTTCACCCCACTAATTTATTTGTTTAATATGAGGCATCTAATCAAGTACTCCTTGGAGGTGCAATTGATGGTTATGGCCTCTACGGTTTTCCACAAATACAGATTTTCAAGGAGCCAAAGTTCAACACAAATACTAGCTAGTTTCCCTCGTTGCTCAGATACCATGTAAAGTAAAGAGAACTCTACTTAAAAGTATTGTGTGTATTATTCATTGATATTGTTAGTACAGGTATACATAGAGCTCTAGTAACACAACTGTCATGCTAAATCAGCATGTAACCAACCGAGAGTCATAACAGAAAACTATTACTTGCACATTATGAGCTATAGCTACACTATATTCTAATAATACTTGAATCACTTTTCTTAAGTTTGCCTTTGTTAGACTTGTCACAACAAGAAACCACACAAATAAAGGTCGTATTAGGTTGATAAAGCTTCCTTCGAAAGGATCTCAGCATACACTAGAAATACTATTTTTTTAACAAAAAGCAAATATAAACTAAAGTATTCAATAATAATTTTTTTGTGGAACTGTGCAGCTATTAGTGGTACGAATTTATCAGTATCATGATTGACTAGAGTCAGGTATCCTTAAAAAAGTATGAGTGAACACTAAACAGCATCCAACAATAGCATTTGGAGATGCATTTTGATAATACTCTTCTATATTTTTCTTTCGAACTAAAATATTCTATAATTTCTAGCATTTCCATCATTAAGGCGCAATAACAATGGAATGATATATAGAGATTAGATCCGGAAGATTACAAGCATAATGGAATTTACGTATGACAGGAAAAGGGTGGGAATTGGAATATATGTTGTGCAGGTGCTACTCCTAAAACTACTGATAGGCTAAAGAAACTACAATAACTATAGTAAGAAAAACTGAAATACTTCATAATCTGGTAAAGATTACGAGGGTTATTATAAGCAGAAAAATTCTAACAGTCAAGAAAAATTCACCCTTCACGTGGCTGAAACACAACTAGCTGTTAATTAAGTTTCAAAGATTTTAACCCAAAGTGGGCTTTCGCTTCATTCTCTTGGGCCTTTGATTCATATCCTTCATGTTAAGTGGGACTCTATCAACGACCCGGAAAAAGTTTCTTCCCAAGGGTTTCTAGGCATTTAAACCATATCTTATTAGTCTATTAAATAATGCTAGAGAGATTCATGTTTGGACAATTAGCTACTAAATGTAAGATACAACTTAAAACACTGATATTGTTAGAGAAATAGAAAATAACCATTCTTCACTTCTGAGTTCTTACCTACGAGTTTTAAACCTAGCATAATTTATTCAAGAGAGAAACAACTAAATATATTAGAATTTGAGTTTGGGCATAACCCGAACCCAAAAGTTATCTCATGAGATAATAGTTGTTCCTCACTTTTATATACTCTAACACACCCTTCATGTTGAAGACTAGATATTTCAAGCATTAAGTTTATAAAACTAGACATCTGTTGGTAGTCAATCAATAACTTAATAGCAGGTAACCCAATATGCCCAACAACAATCACTAATATAAAATCTAATACTATATTAGAATTTCAATTCAGGCCTAATTCAACTTCAAGAACTAGTTCACTAAGTGAGTATTGTTCCTCACTTATATACATCTTTAGGCCTATTGAGTAACAGAAAGAATTGTGATGAGAGAGTTGTGAGAAGAAGAAGAGAGATTGAGTGGAAGCAATTCAGTAGAGAAAGAAATTATATTTGCACTAACTAATTAACATTACAACTTGTCTATTTATATGTATCTATAGCTTCAAAGGAAGCTATAGATACATTGACCTGTTGAGCAGGTAACCAAACCAGAAAACAGAAAAATAACTAACAGATAACCAACTAATACAAGAATAAAAATAATACAATACGAAGGAGTAAAGATATACTCCAATAGCCCCCCGCAAGATCAAGTAGGGTGGGGCGAAGAGTTAGCCAACTTGAGCTTGGATCGAAGTTCACAAAACCGAGATGGAGATAAGGACTTAGTAAGAATATCAACATATTGATCAGTGGCCGGAACATGAACCACGTGAAGAAGATTGGCAGGTACTTTTTTCCGAACGAAGAAGAGATCCAGCTCCATATGTTTGGTTCGAGCATGAAGGACAAGATTATGCGCAAGAGCAACTGTGCTCAAATTATCACAGTAGATTACAGGGGAATGATGAGAGACATGTAATTCGGAGAGTAAGGTTTGAATCCACAGAACTTCAGCAGTGGCAATAGCTAGACTGCGGTATTTAGCTTCAGTGCTGGAGCGGGCAACAACAGTTTGTTTCTTTGACCACCAAGAGATGAGATTGGGTCCAACAAAGATGGCGGCACCAGAGGTAGAGCGGCGATCATCAGGATCAGAGGCCCAATCAGCATCACAGTAGGCATGAATGGATAAGGGAGAGTTAGGAGGAGCAGGTTGGAGATGGAGACCCAGGGACAAGGTTCCCTTTAAGTAGCGAAGGATACGCTTGACAGCAGACCAATGTTGCTCCAAGGGATTAGACATGAACTGGCACACCTTTTTGACCGAAAATCTAATTTCAGGACGAGTGATTGTGGCATACTGTAAGGCGCCAACCACAGACCTGTATAAGGATACATCCAGAAAATTGTCAGAACCAGACTTAGAGAGTTTACACCTAGAGACCATGGGTGAAGTGATGGAATTAGAGTTTTCCATGTTGGTGCGATTGAGGAGATCACAAATATATTTGCTTTGAGTCAGAGTGAGCGAGCCATTAGAATGGGATTTGACTTCAATACCAAGAAAATAATCCAATCGACCAAGATCCTTGAGGGAGAAGGCGGAATTGAGTTGGGAAACAATATTTCTTAGGAAAGCAGTATTATTGCCAGTGATGATAATGTCATCTACATAAACAAGAATGTAGATGACATTATTGGCACGGGAATAAACAAAGAGAGAGGGATCACACTTGCTAATCTGAAAGTTGAGATGAAATAGTGTGGCTTTTAGTTTATCAAACCAGGCACGCGGGGCTTGTTTAAGACCATAAATGGCCTTGTGAAGTTTGCAGACCAGGGATTTGTGTGAGGACTCAAAACCGGGAGGCTGGGACATGTAAACTTCTTCAAGATTGCCATTGAGAAAGGCATTGTTGACATCCAGCTGCTGAATGGACCAGTGATGGGTGAGAGCAAGAGTGAGAATTAGACGGATGGTAACAGGCTTCACAACCGGAGAGAAGGTCTCAGTATAATCAAACCCAAATTGCTGATGGAAACCCTTGGCAACCAGGCGAGCTTTATGTTTGTGAACAGTTCCATCAGGATTCTCTTTAATACGAAAAACCCACTTACAACCAATGGCTGTTCTGTGGGAGGGAAGTGATACTAGAGTCCAGGTGCCATTGGCCATTAATGCATCATATTCCTGCTTCATGGCAGCAAGCCAGGTGTCACTAGCCAGAGCTTGTTTGGTACTCTTGGGTTCAAAATGTGTGAGTAAAAGAGTGGGTTGCAGTCGGGGTTTGACAATACCCGCTTTAGCCCGAGTAGTCATGGGATGAAGATTGACAGGGGGAGCCTCAACATGAGTGGGTAAAGAGGTGGAGGAAAAGGGACTGGGCGTAGGAGAAGTATGACTAGGCCGAGAAGGTGAAGAATCAGTGGAAATTGGTGGCGAGGGTGGAGAAGGAGAGGTAGAGGTAACAGGTGCCTGTGGATTGGTGATGATAAGAGGGACAGAGATGGATGAGGAGGGTGAACTGGGAGTGGATGGTGGGAACAGACTTGGGTAGGGAAAACGATTTTCGCAAAATATGACATCTTTGGAAATGAAAATCCTGCCAGAAGGAGCAAGGCATTTGTAACCCTTATGAGAAGTAGAGTAACCCAAGAACACACATTCTTGAGAGCGAAATTGATGTTTGGTTTTATTGTAGGGCCGAAGGTGAGGAAAACACGAGCAGCCAAAGACACGGAGAAAGTTGTAGTCAGGGAGCTGATGAAACAATTTTCGGAAAGGAACATCCTGTTGGATTGAAGAAGAGGGTAGTCTATTGATGAGATAGACACTTGTTAGGAAGGCATAATCCCAAAAGTGCATAGGAAGGTGAGCTTGGGCCAGCAAGGTAAGGCCTAACTCAACAATATGACGATGTTTGCGTTCCACAACACCATTTTGATGGTGAGTGTGGGGACAAATGATGCGATGATGAATACCATGTTGGGCCAGGTAAGAGGTGAAAGAGCGGAATTCGCCACCCCAGTCAGTTTGAATTGCTTTAATAGGTAATTGAAATTGATTTTGAACCATGGCGTGAAATTGTTTAAAAACATCAAGCGTATGAGCTTTACTTTTGAGCAAGAAGATCCAAGTAAACCGAGTATGAGCATCAACAAATGTAACGTAATATTGGTAACCATTATCAGACAAAACAGGCGCAGGGCCCCATAGATCACTGTAGATTAATTCAAAAGGAGTATTATAAACATTTTTAGATAATTGAGAGGGTAATTTGTGAGATTTGCCAAGACAACATGAAGTGCAGAAATCAGAAACACTTTTATTGATGACGGGAAAGTTACACAGTTTGAATATAGATTTGAGTACATTATTATGGGGATGTCCCAGTCTAGAATGCCAAGTGGCATAGGAAACAGAATGAGAAGAGACAGTGTGAGCAGAGGGTGTAAGAGGCCGATGAGGATTCAAGAAGATTGACGGAGATAAGATTCTTCTTCTTGAATTTCTCAAGGCGGGATTCATGGGCAAGAAGGAGGGTTTCAACCTCTTCGATGGACAAAACATCAAAGCGGCTGCTGATTAGGGAGACCGTGGACTCGTATTCTTCTGGTAGACCTTCAAGAACAATATCTAAATGTTCTTTAGAGGAGACAGAGTCACCAATCGTTGTGAGAGAATCAACCAGGGATTGGATGCGAAGAAGATAATTGGAGATGGTGCAGTTGTCAAGGGTGGTGCTGCGAAGATCACTACGGAGTTGTCGGGCTTTAGCGTTTGTGTGGGCATGGAAGTACGCATGGATATTGTCCCAAATCTGGAATGAGGACTTGCAACCGATGACGCAGGTGAGCATGTCCTTGGACATGGAGGATTGCAACCAGGAAAGAAGTAACTGGTCTTACTGTTCCCAAGCCAGATACTCTTCAGAGACGCGATTTTCATCTCTGTCGGAAACCGTGAGAAATTTTGGAGGAATTTGAGGATTGACCAGAAAATGATGAAGACGATGGCCTTTGATGATGGGTTCAACTTGTTGGCACCAAAGAAGATAATTCTTGGTGTCAAGTTTCTCAGAAATAGTATGGGCAAAGGTGAGGGAGGGAGACGGAGAGGGTTTTACGGGGGAAGCTTGAAAGTGTGGTGGTGCAGTTGAGGAGGACGATGGTGGTTCGTCGGCCATGAGGAAAGACCGGCAGCGAGAAAGAAAGGGGCTGATTAAAGAGATAAAGGTGGAGGAGGATCAATGAGCTCTATGATACCATATTGAGTAACAGAAAGAATTGTGATGAGAGAGTTGTGAGAAGAAGAGAGATTGAGTGGAAGCAATTCAGTAGAGAAAGAAATTATATTTGCACTAACTGATTAACATTACAACTTGTCTATTTATATGTATCTATAGCTTCAAAGGAAGCTATAGATACATTGACCTGTTGAGCAGGTAACCAAACCAGAAAACAGAAAAATAACTAACAGATAACCAACTAATACAAGAATAAAAATAATACAATACGAAGGAGTAAAGATATACTCCAATAAGGCCAATCACTACAATTCTGCAAATTTCATATTCAAGGTGTCTAGTACATCACTAGATCTCAAATTGACTAATAATATAGCTAAAAAAGTATATATAAGTGGGGGAGTTCCCTCACCATATGAACTAGGTTTTGGGGTTTAGTTGCCCAAATTCTAAGAAATTAGAAGTGTGTCAGAGTAGAGTAGGTACCAAATATAATAACACTCCCGGATGATATAGTGGTGACTACTCCAGGTCTCAGCCGCTTCTCATTAATGAATGTCCCATTAGTGCTATCTAAATCTGTGACAAGAAGATTCCCTTGTTTCTTTTGAATGCGTGCATGCACACCGGACACTGAAAATATAACAAAGTTTAAAGTTGAAAATATGGTTCATATAAGGAAGTCAAGAGAACCAATCAACCAAACAGGTTAAAATTGAAGATAGTTGAATTTGAAGTTTAATTGAGAGATTCTTCGGAAGAGAAACAAATCAGAGTACACAAAGAATAAGGAGTATATACAGAATAAACGTTCAAAGAATCAATTGAAAGATAAATTATGTGACATCCACAATCTCTGTATCTTAACATGGGTAGTGAATATGCTTAAAGTGATTCTGCCTTTTGAAATTGGATGTAGGTTTGTAATTGTAGGAAAATTGATGAGTCTAAATAGATGACAATTTATCAACTAAAACATTATACCTGTTGCAACTGGAATTACCAGATCTGCTTTGTCAGGTACGCGTCCAACAGTCACCTCACTCTACATAATTCAAAATCAAGCCAGTTATTCTCCAGCATACTCGGTCACACACAACATTATCGATGGTAAAATTACTTACAGAAGCAATCACATATGCACCTGGCATCTCAACCTTGAAGCCTATATGCCTTGAATCACCATCTCCTATCAAATAAGATTGTCATGTTTCCAATGTTATAAAGCACTACATTAATCATGAGACAAATACAGAAGTTTGGTGTCATGGTTTATGTAGAAGTTTTAGTAAGACAGTAGTGAAGCTTTACACTAAAAACAAAATTGTACGGAAGATGATAGTAAACGGGATTTTTGATATCCGAAATTGCAAGTCCCTGAACTTAAGAAACTTGTTACAAGTTATCAACAAGTATACAAATAAAAGGGCCAGAATTACTTTTCCCTTATATTGTAAACCAGTCAGCATAATATTTTACAGATATTTGAATCTGTAAATTACTCTTGCTACTATTGTATAGCTGAACTGCCGAAGTAAGAAGCATGATCTAAGTATCTTATTTTGTCTTTATGGTATGGTGGCATAATGGCATCAAGGTTTTTAAAATCAGAAAGTTTACACAACCACAAGACATTGGTGTCCTTGATCAAGTTGGCCTAATAATATTTTGAAGGATTACACTTGACTGACAGCAGAGTGTAAGGAACGAAAGTTCAACAACAGCACAACACATGCTAGCATTGACTTGGAAAAAAAATTGCAGATCATACCATACTATAAGTCACACAATTTGACAGAGCAATATAGGGAGATGTAAACCATAGGATTTAAGCCAGGTAGATGAAATTGAGAAACGCCTAGGGTGTTATTTTATTTGTGATAGAAAGGTGCTTCTTAAGCTAAAATATTTTTTTCCACGGCCGGAAGACAAGTGATACTTTATGGTAATGAATGTTGAGTAACAAAGGGACCACAAGAGCATATTTAATTAAGGGTGGGATGCAAACAAAAAAAAGAAGATAGGATTCAAGCTTGGTGAATGATTAAGGATGCTCAGGTGTTATTATGATAGAAAGGTGCATTTTAAGCTACAAGGATAATTATACTGCGCAACCATAAGACTAACGAGGCTATATGGTACTAAATATTGAGCAATAAAGGGCAACAAGAACATAAGATAAAGGTTGTAAACACAAAAATATTTCTTTGGACCAGTAGTTAAACAGAAAAAATAAGATTATGAATGAACTTATTAAAGAAAAAGTTGGAGTGGTATCCAATGAGGAAAAGATAGTAGAATTGAGCCTAAAATGGTTTGGGCATGTGAGAAAAAGATCAATAGAACTCAATTAGAAGAGTCGATCAAACAGAGGATAGCCCAATAATCGGAGACAGACGTGGAGGTGAAATAAAAAATATTTAAAATGAAACCACTATAATGGCTCTAGAATTAAATGGATACTTTGAAGAATTAGTTTAGGACAGAACACGATGACTTCATTTGACTTATTTAGCCAACTCTACCCAATGGAAAATACTTTGGTTGTTGTAACATCCATTGACGAGGAAGAAAAAACATGCATGACTGTGAATCTGTGATGGATCTTACAAATATCATTTTCAAATCATTCATTTTTATTTTAACAAGTCTCAGTGACAATGTTACTCAAGAATTAAATAAACTAAAGCAAATAGAAGCCCTAACAGACAAATTAAATTATGGCCACAATTTCCTTCGAATCAATTTTAAAATGTTAACATCATACCAAATGATACAGATAACTAATTCCGATTCAAATCTCAAAGAAGTTCTGACAAGGAATTCCTAGTCTTCCACCAGGATACTTAATATGATCCATGGATGCATATGGTATCACACTATCACCGTTACAAAAGTTTTTACAAATTCTGTTTATCCTCTTAAATTGAATTACCTGAAGACGCAAAGGAATTCCATGATGATCTTTTTACATGAATTTCCTGGTTCCATGTTGAAGCCTCAGTCACCATGGTTATGTGGGTTGGTGTATGCTGCATCCTAATTTGGATATATACTAAAACATCTTAGGACTCTAACATAAGCTAGCACAATTTACCCACCTAAACCTCAAAATATTAAAATTTCCATATTTATGTACACTCGCATATGATCCTATCTGCATAACTCCGAACACATTACATGCAAGATTTTAGTCTAGAGGGATTACGTTAAAAGGCTTAGTTTCTAGAGAGGAAGATGTAACTGACCAACTGGTTCAAGAAGCCATTTTTCTGAATCATTGGTTGTTGGGTTTGCAGCCTCTGAGGCATGCACAACTCCCAGGTTCTTCCTTTCTTTTGCTATGTACCGAACACCACTTGGTGGCTGAAACAGAAAGCGCTTGGGCAAATGATGGTGGGGTACTGAACTGAAAGCAACTGAGGTGGCATTGAGGTGAAGTAAGAGTGGTGAATTCAACAGAGATGAAGGTTTTGCAAAGGAGAGAGCATGTACAAATGTGCCTTCCATTTGTTGAAATGGTGAGGGAAAACTAGTTGTTGTTTGCTCATATGGGTTTGGTGATGAGGGATAAACCTGAAACTTGATCTTGTTGTGACTAATGGGACATGGAGTGGAGTATGTGGCAGCCATTTAATGCTTCACAAGAGATTGGATAACTATCTCTTGTGCTAGTTATTGTCAATGTTTTTTTTTTTTTTTAATACCGTATACCACGTGATGTATTTTAACAAAATTGAATATTATTTACAATTTATACAAACCATTAATGACACAAACAATACACAGAACTAATAATTTCATTAGTTAATGACAAATGCATATAAAGATACACAATAAACAACATTGTCAATTAACAATCACATGATACTTTAGTAGTTTGGAGTTTGAAACTCATGGCAATAAGCATAAGACATTCAAATTTTATAGTGTATAACGTTCTTTTTTATTTAAGGACAATCCTCGAGTTTTTATAGGTCTAAACACCTTACATTTGATTTGAGCCTTATCGGTTGAAAGACTTTTATTAAAGTTATGGACCATTTTCATGTTTTTTCAAAATAGGCCTAGTTATATTCTTGTCTGTCTGAGAACTTAGTTGTAAGTTATTTATATGGCGTATTCAGAGTATCAAGACAATTAATGAAGTATTTTAATTTTCCCAATTTTATATTTCTTGCAGTGGCATAAACCCTAATTTTTTAAAGTAATTTAACAGTTTGATGCTTTCATTTTGGATTCTATGTCTCCCAAACCATCCAAAGAGGTGGATGTTGTCATCCATAACTTCAACGAAAAGTTTGGGGCCATGCAAAATTATTTTGAAACTACTGCACGATACTCACCAAGTGATCATGCAACAATCCTTAGAAGTCATGATGAAGAAATTAACAGCCTTGGCACCCAAACCCCGCGCACCTCCGCTTCTTAGTCCATGCTTAGCCCAAAACACTTCATCCAACCCCTCATCTTGACCGCCCACATCTATATCTTTCAACCCTAACCCTATACCCATTAAATGCCTCACCTCTTCCCAAATGCAAGAGTGACATGGGCAGGGGACTTTGCTATATATAATTGTGATTAGAAGTTTGTTCCTAGCCTATTTTCTCCTCTTGGTGATTGGGGATTTTGAGGCAAGCGAACCATTCATTTATTCTTGTAATACTACTATTATCGAACCACTTTCTGACCCCTCATTTCGACTTCTCCTTTCAAGCCCTCACCAGTTACCTTTCACCCAAAATTTTTCAATTCTAAGGAAAGCTTCATAATATTGTCATTCGAGTCTTAATTGAAACCGATAGTTCTCTTAATATTCTTCAACTCAGATTGGCTTCCCACCTCCAATTACCTATCACTATCACCCTTAAGTTCTGAGTTATGGTTGATATATCGGAGAATCCCCTAATTTCCACACATAATCGACTTCGTTACGACATGCTTGGGTTGATTAGCAACCTAATGTCAACTTGGTCAAACTGGCCGGCATGTTGTATATCGGAAGGTCCAAATCGTCTAGCAAATCTAAGGTAACCGAATCGATCGACTCGACAACGCAGGGGTCGGTCGACTCGGTATAGGGGTCGGCTTGCTCGATCATAAGGAACTAGTCGATGCTAGTTAGGATGAGATTACTTCTCTTTAATTTACTGGTTTAACTCCCTAATTTTTCGAGGTTCATTCCTTAATTATGGCCCAATTCCCACCAGTATAGATAGACTCCCAACAAGGTATGTGAACCAACTGAACTATCACATTTAATAGATTGATCCTTTATTGACTTGAGTGTTGGAGTGTCTTTTGCAGGCACGCCCACCTCGAACTACGTAGAGAGGAACGTGAAGACCTCGACCTGAAGTTAAGATCGTGATTAAGATGTGTCTACTATTATAGAAACATTTGGCGCCCACCATGGGGTCGAAGTAGGGATGGCAATGGGGCCCCATGGGGGTGGGTAATAGTAAACTCGTCCCCGCCCTGCTAGATGAAAATTGACCCCATACCCACCCTATATCCGTGTGGGTATCTATTAAGCGGGTATCCATGAATTTCTTGAATACCCACGGATATCCATGGATATTTATAAATTTTTTAAAAAATTAAAAAAATTATATTATAAATGATTTTAAGTTTATATTTAATGTCATTGAAATATTAAAAAAAAAATCAATGTTAATTTTGAACTTGTATTTAACGTTAATTTTGTTAAAATAATAATAAAAATGCAAGATAATCAATAACTTAAAATACATCAATCTCATAAGTAAGTGAAAGTCTCATATTACATAGCTACAATAATTCAATCTCATAATTCCAAACGAAAGTAGACAACTTAAAATACATAAATCTTATTGGTCCAATCAAAGATAGAAAATTAATCAAATTGCACCCAACATAATTCTATAACATGCTTAACACATGTTGGTAACTTCATCAACCTCACTTTTGTAAGAAAATAAGATGAGAGAGTGTAGTTTTAGGGTTATGTGGTACAAGGATAATTAGGATATTTAAGAAATATTATTAAACGAGTATCCACGGGTATGGATATCATCATACCCGCCCCCACCCCGTTTATAAAAGGGTACAAAATTATCCGTCTCCATTATCCGCGGGTACCCAATTAGCCTATCCATTTATTATCCGTAGCAGATTTTACCTGCAGATACTCACGAGTGCGGGTATTTTTGCCATTCCTAGGCCGAAGAGACCTTTTCAGCCCCTTTAAACTCCACCAACTGAGACTAAGACATGGTAGCTACACGCAAAGGACCTTCAACATCGACTCAACCACCCCCAAATATCGAACACCATCTTGGCATATCCGGACAGGAGAGGTACCCTTACGGAATGCCCCAGATGCGACAGGAACCCATAAAATAGGAGGGCCTGGCAAACACCGAGGATCGGCCAAACCTCAATGACAACTTGCGGTTATTGCGTGAAGAGATGGCCGTTATATGCAGACAAAGAGAAGTTGATGCCAAGGAACTGGTAGAGCTCCGCCGCCAAAACGCTAAGCATCGGAGCCTAAACAGAACCTGAATCCCCACCACTCCTATGCCCCTAGAAGAATCGGCCTATCATGTTCCAATTGATCAGGTTGCCCAAACATCCACTACCTCTTTGGTGAGCAGTAAAGTCGACACTACAAGTAACTCTCTCAAACACCCATTCTCCCGAAGAATAATGAAATCCACCCTACTTGACCACTGGAATAGTTTTCCCATCGAGACATACGATGGATCGATTGACCCTGTGGATCACTTGAATGTGTTCCTAACACAAGTCACCCTCTCAACACAAGATGACGCCACGTTATGCTGTATATTCCCTACTTCTCTAAAAGGTAGGGCACTAAGCTGGTTCACACGCCTGCCTAGTTCCTTCATTGACTCATTCAGGGAATTGGCATCTCAATTTTCCCTAAAATTTGCTACTAGCAAGCCGTACAGGATGACCTCACTTGCACTAGCAAGGATTCAATAAGAGAAAAATGAAAGCCTTAGAGACTTCATGGACCGATTTAACAAGATCACCATGGAGATTGACTACCTTAACCCCGCCTTGGTGATGGATCGGCTGAGTACCGCCCTAAAACTAGGACCTTTCATGAACAGCCTGTGCAAAAAACCACTTGAAAACATGAATGATCTCCGACACCGAGCAAAAAAATACATATAGATGGAAGAGTTGGTTGAAACAAGAAATCAAGCTAGGGTTAATGAAGGTCACAATAAGAGAGGTGATAGTTGAGAGATGGTTAAAAAGGGGAATATCGAACAGTTGAGTACTCGTCACCCGCACGGACCACGTTACACAACATATATGCCTCTTAATGCAAGTAGGGAAAAAGTGTTGGAGCAGGCTCTTGCCTCTGAGATCCTCATTATATCAAAGCGGGCGAACACCCCCCTAGGGCAGACACAACGAAGACGTGTCGGTACCATCGTAATAAAGGGCAATCTACTGAGGAATGCTCAACACTTAAAGACAAATAGGAGGATTTTATCAAATAAGGTCACCTAAGAAGTTTTCTTAACCGTCGAGACCATGTTCTAACGTTAGATCATTGCCAAGTATTGAAAGAAAGGTCCTACCACCCTTGCAAAGCACGACATGCGAGGGATCATAGAGGCCAATCTCGCTCAGCCAAACGGAGGGATCATGCTAGGGAAGGTAATGATCTACCAAGAAAAGTGATAAACACCATAGCAGGAGGTTTCACTGGAGGAGGAGCCACCTCCTCGGCGAGGAAAAGGCACCTTTAGGTTGTGCATTCCATAAATATTGTCGAGCACCCAAGGATACCCGAATGCCGCCTATAACATTTTCAGATCGCGAGTTCTACAAGGTCAACCCCATTCATGACGATCCCATGGTGATTTTCATTGAAATGCACAATTGTATTATAAAGAAGACTCTGATTGATCAGGGAAGTTCAACGAACATATTATATTGGAATACCTTCGTGCAAATGGGGATTTCGGAGGAGAGCCTATTACCTTATAATGAACCTCTGGTCAGATTTTCAATGGAGAGAGTAATGATAAGAGGGTGTATAGGCCTGTACACCCATTTTGGCTTCAACTAGAAAGATTTTTGAGAAGTCAAAATCCATTATATTGTGGTGCACGCCAGTACATCAGACAATATCTTGTTAGGGAGACCCTCCATTAATTCCCTAGGAGCCATTGTTTCAACCCTCACTTGTGCATGATGTTCCCATCAAGAGATGAACAAGTGATAACCGTCCACACCGACCAAAAAACGGCTAGGGAGTCCTACTTCTCCAGTTTGGAGATGCAACCCATTGTTGACTTCCCGACAATGAAAGGTGTCAATGTAGTAAAATAAGGAATGATGGATAACATTGACCTTGACCCTTGGGTTAGTGAGGAGGAGAGAGTCAAGCCAGTTGAGGACCTTATTCCGTTCTAGCTTGGTCAAATCCCCGAACAAGTTACACACGTGGGGTCTCTGTCGCAACCCGAAAATTTTCGATCTTGCGACCTATGATTTAGACATCCTTTTGAAAATATCATCAATTAAGGAATGGCCGGAGACCAGACTAATCCCTAATTAATGGTTTTGAAAATAGGTTCATGGAGTTGGCACCAATG